GAAGTGAGGGGCGAGGTCCCTTCCTCTGGCGTGATGAACATTTTGGCAGCAGGACTTTGTGCGTCCCCGGAGGCGAGCCTGAGTGAGTCCATCCAACAATGAAATCATAGCCACGTGCAGAAACACACACACACACTCTCTTACAGTACAGACACAGGGCTATATATCCACCTTGTAAAAGATTACACCTGCAACCAAAAATAAAATAAAAATGTAACACTCAGAGACTCCAGGCAATAATTTAAGACAATTCACGACACACACAGGACCAACATACCTCTGACATACATGTATTTAGCCCAATGTATCCCATCGGACAGTGTTGTCATTATTTGTTAGTACTTCATCTTCTTCAACTATCACTTTTTATCTGCACTAGCGAGGAGTCAAATAAGACATTATTCTTCCTGTAGCGAGGCAAATCGCAGTCTGACTTTGCATGGAGTTCATCTTTGGTGAACTTGCAATATTTACTCCTCAGTGTGACAGTGATCTTAGGCTGAGTCATGGCAGTACACAGAAGACTAACTTTGCCGCTTGCATCCACGATCTGGATTAATACGGTATATCTGTTGCCTTTGCACAAAACAAATCATTCTAACAGAGGAGCGAATTACTAACAAGTCAAGATGGTTAAAGTTTTGGATTTTCTATCCATCAATTTTCAAGATTTCAGCACAACTACAATACTCTGAGTGGCAGATTTTAATTTCTACACCGCTCTTGGATTGGCAGTAGATATGTGACACTGAATCTGACACATACTTTAATGAATGAAGTAAATGAACAGTTTTAATGTGGTGAACCGCACCCATATGGTCCCTTGAGCCAACAGACGTGCAGCCTGAGAGCTACGACTGATGCCTGGCGTTCCCACAAAAAAACACATGCAGTGACGCACGCACACACACACACACACACACACACACACACACACACACACACACACACACACACACACACACACACACACACACACACACACAGTCAGCATTATCTCCCTCTCAAGCCTTCCAGAAAACTTCAGCCGTCGGGGAGGGACCGCCAACTCTCCGGCCAGTGAATTACATCAGCTATGATGTCATCCTTTGGGCTGCCACTGCACCCCCGTACGCCTACGCCCGAGATACAAGCAGCTCAAGGACACATGCAAACATTCAGGCTCGAGTGCACGACTACATAGAATACACACACTTAACAGATCTTACTTCTAATAATGACAGTAACCTGAGAAAGATCTACATTATTTACTGCTGTGGAAAAAAGAAATCTAGATTCCTTCTGACAAAAACAAATATGTCTCATTCTCTGTCGTCATTTGTAGGAATTATGCACTTTAGTTGGACACGATACGTGGCTCCATCATTCACAGTTGACTGTGTGTTTATGTCTTGAGCTTTCAGACAGGCACTGACGTCCAGACATTTTCCTGAAGTGTTCAGCGGGGGCTGTCTGTGAGAACACAAACGTCCAAGTCAGTTGCTCTGGACATTTACTTGAACATTTCCTTCTAACCCACCTATAGAATGTCTGGAAAACATCAGAGTGAGCCCACGTGACAATACAGTACAGCGGGAAAATGTCCCATCGAGCAAGTGAGCCTGTTGATGAGATTTCTAACATGTGACGGATGCGAAACTGGAAGAATACGAAAAGGGGCGTCATACATGTAGAAGACAAAGGATAAGATGAACGAGATTCGAGAGTTTTTGGGGATAAGAGCCGACGCCTGTGTCAATGTGTTGCAAACTCAAACACATGATTTCTGCAAAAAAAATCTATGCTCACGTGTATTTTTCTCTCTTTATCTTATCTATTTTTACTCCTTGTTGCTCTCTCCTCTTCCCTTTAGAAGAAACTTCTCTAAGTGGTTCCCCTCAAAACTCTGTCTCTATGTAATATTTATTCAGTTCCTTTCTGACGAATAACCTGGTGTAAACTCTGCATACCTCAGCCCCAGGCCTCCAGTCAGTGCTTTTCCCCGGCCAATACAGCACCCACATAAGGTTTAAACAGACTTTAAGAAGGAGTTTCAAACATTATTTCAGCCAATTTGTTATCTACGTTTTATATAAAACTTGACGGCCTCCTGAGAAGAAGTCCCAAAGAAGCAACGGCGGCACATTTCCTCTTCCACCGTACAGAGTAACAACAAAAACAAGCAACTCCGGGTTTGGATTCAGCCTTTTATGCAATTCTTTTCTCTTATTTAAAATGATTTGTTTTTGCCCTGCATTTACAGGATTTCCAAACAAACAAAACACGAGAGTTTGAACATCCCGTTTTCCAAGGCACAATCACCTCGTGTGAACCGGCAGCTTCAGTGTTTGTGTTCTCAAAGCAGTCGACTACTGACGGACACGCAGGAAAACGTAACTCCACACCGTTCGCATTCTTTGATACCACTTTAAACAAATAACTCTCAGCAACTTAATCAAACAGACCACGACAGATGATAGAGGTCAAATATTTTACTGTAACGCTTGTCATGCAATCACACAATCCAACTACGCTCAAGACTAATTGATGCTCCCACTGAAAATGACCATAAGACAAGTCGAGTCCAATGTTATCGTCTGTTATTCATTTAGTTCTGGTCTGCAATGTTAATTCAAAAATGGGGACAACCTAGAAATGAAGTGTTTTTAAGTTGTTTAACTGTTAAATTATCCACAACGCTTTCAGACATCCGGATAATGTCCTGAAAATTGGGCTGTACATTTTCTGGAGTTTGTCCTTCACATATGAAAAAGGAATCTCGTTGTCTCAACATCCTCGTCGACGTCTTCTATACATGTATGTCTCCCCTTCTTCACCCTGAGCTGTCCTGCTGCGGGGGTCGCAGGAAAACGTTTTCTGGACATTTTACTCGAGGCCTTGCAGGAACAATTCTAGAGAAATCCTGTAGCCACTGACACAGACATACAGCCGCTCCAGAGAATTTCAGGAAAATGTCTGGACATCGGTGCAAAACAGCTCCAGGCTGCACATGTTTGGATGTTTCTCCACAGGGTCGGACCTCTAACCGTAAACACTCTCTCATACCTGATATAGAGAGAAGATGATTGTGTGCATGCACGTGCTTATGTGTCAGCCTTTTGATCTGCAGCTCGTCTTTGGTTTTTTTGGTTGTTATCAGAGGGATTGTTTTTCTCTTCCTGTCTCCCACAATGCTTTGCTGACATTATCAGGCTGCGGTGCTGGGATGTGAAACCCCTCCACATCTTTCACTCCTCTATCATCTCTCTTTCTGTCCATAGTGTATCTCCCTTCCTTTCACTCCCCTGCATGCGCTCCTTTGACTCTGTTACCTTGAAGCTCTTTCACGGCTCCAGCTGTCGTCTGTTGTTTGTCTCCTGGTTTGATTCTCACTAGTGAGATTCTGTGATGCACAAATCTCAAAGTCAGTTGTAAAATGGATTAGTTTGAATGTTTAAAATGTAATAGTTTGTCTCGATTTTCCATCCAACATGGGTCAAGTTGGGTCTCGTGGCTGTAACAAGCCTATTTGTGAACACGCCTGAATAAATCGGAGTGAATTTACAATCAGCTCTGATCACGAAGAGGTTTTTTTCAGTCTAGAAGTGAGAGGGCTGCTGCATATTCATTTTGCATGATCAAATCACTTGGGGCAGAAATCACAGATGGTTTTTAGCAACATCTTTGATACAAGCTGGAGTACAAGGGATGCTGCACCTTATGTCTGCCTGAAAACCTTCACACAGTCCATCTGTGTTAGACAATAAAATAAAGGTTGTGTACTTGAAAAGCTTCTGTAGGTGCGCAAGTGAACAAGATCTAATCATTCCTGTAGAATGTGTCCTTTGTTTCTGTTCCACATCTTTCCATGTTACTAATTAAATCAGTACATGTACATGCAGATACAACCGAATTACTCTCCACATGCCACAATGACTCTTCACTCTGCGTCGATGCCGTGAAGAAGGTAGAAGAAGGTATAGAGTTTCTCTATAAACGCACAGAGTCGCTTCATTAAATAGCTTATTAAATAGGTTGTTTGACAGAGCGCTATGTGACATATTTCTGTGTTTTATGTAGTATAAGGTTACTCCTTCCTCTGGGCTATAACATATTATGATGGGCACAGGTTGCTTTGTGCGGGGCATGGGTCACGGCCTACTAAATATTTAGGGAGGGCAAGCACGCCCCCGCAGGCCTCCCAGATCGAGAGACATGACAGAAACGACAAAGAAAATAAACAAATGCAGCTTTGGAGACGGGAGGTGAACAGAGATGAAGAGAGCAGGTTGGTGCACGTGTTGTGAAATTAATTCTACTGGTTAATGATTATTGAAAATTACTCTATTTATTATACTTACAAGATGAAAATCCTTTACACGTATTTAAAGTTCCATTTAACAAATAGAAGGGTGCAGAGAGCACATACCTCCGTCAAGGCTAACGCTCTATCTCGTCATGTTAAAGAAAGTGAAAACATATTCCTGCTCCTTTATCCACATTCACTCCAAAATGTAATGGGCTCTTTCTTGCCCCGCCCCTCCACTTAACCTCATGGAACTCAGTTGACTCCGTGTTGAAGGTAATAAGAAAAATAAAACTCAAAAAGACAATTTCAGGATGTTCAGCTGAGTAAAGGTACAATGAGGGAAACAGAGAGAAAGAGTATGTTTAGTGTGTGTGTGTGTCTCTAATGTGAAAAGCCTATGTAGGTGTCCACTGTGTGTTGACAAAGGGATTACTTTAGGATCAAGAAGATTTTGCAGATCCATGAAGACATGCAGAGACGCACACACGCGCACACACACACACACACACACACACACACACACACATTGAAAACCGACCCCACACAAACAAGCTTACCTTCTTCCAGCGCTGAAGAAACAGTAGAAAATCCCAGACCCAAACACACACAAACATAACTCTGTGCATGACTTATCCCACAGACCTAAGTTACACTCTGTAAATAAACAACAGACAGAAAACACATGCACACATATGTGTAAATGTACACACACCTTCTGCCAGGGTTTTGTCCTCCGAGTGTCCGTTCAGGCTGCTCATGCTGGAGATCTGCCCATTTTTCTGCAAAGGCTGAAAAAGAGACAGAAGAAAAGACTCAGTCAAGAGGTTCTTTTCATTATCTTAATGCATTAACACACACTGAGACATGAGTGAATTTTTCCCTTTGAATGAATAGTTCCACATTTTCACTTTCTTTACAAGAGTTAGACGAGAAGATCGATGCCCCTCTCCTTGTGTCCAACCACAGATTGTCACCACTCACCATCATACGCTCAATAATGGTTTTAAAATGATGCAAACCAGCAAATAAATGTCTCCATCTCAGCTACCCATGATGCTTTATGATCGGTGAATCAGCCTACAGGACGCTGTTAGATCCTTAAATGGTTTGTGTGCAGCCATCGTGTTACGAAGTCATAAATAGTTTTATTTTCAGGCGGAGCAATTTACGGGTAAAAGACGAAAACACCAAAACAAGAACCAAAAATGGGTGAAGAGACCTCAGGTCACGTTCACCCCACCTCATTAAAAATGATGTTAATGTTGGTTTGTTACCGGCAAGTTAGAAATCAAGTCTGAAAAAGAGCTGAAGAAATCTTACACTCAACTTTTAACATCCTTCCACAGCAAAATAATAATATTTTCACTGAGGATACAAAAGAAAAGGTTAGGGTTTGTCATTATGGACAAACTACAACCATGTTAACAAGTGAAAAAGACAACCTGGCTCACAGCACCTTATCACTAGATCAGTTTTTTTATTTTCTGGCAGCGACCAGCTCCGACTGACAGCCGGACAATAGCAGGCAGGTCCGAGCTTTTGTGTGTCCAGGCCGGGGGAGAGGGAACCAGAGCCTCCCCACAGAGCCGCTAATCTAACTAATGGACAACTCAGGCTCGGTTCCCAGCAGGACCGGGGTCCTTCAGGAAAGACGTGAAAAATGAGACCACAGAGAAGGCACTCTGCTCGGGACAGACTGGAGAGAAGCAATGGATGAGGAGAAAGAGTGGAGGGAGGAGCTGGTGTACACGGTGTGGAATAAAAGAAAGACTTCCACAGAGAGGAGTGTCTGAAAGAGAAACTACAGTGTTTACAAAAGTAAAAATTATTCAACTGAACTAACTTTAATTTCAGTATAATCCTGAAAATTCTCTATCATAGTTTTGGTTCTTAAACCTATTCTTGCCACAATTAAAGCTAGAGTTGGTAATCACTGATCACTGATCATGCACAGTGACGACTTTATTTATTGACGTCTATCTGGGTGTGAAGAGAATTATAATAAGCAGGATAAAAAGTGTTTTAGAAACAACTTAGTGACCCACCTTTGACAATCGATCACTGATCAGACACAACATTTGATGATAAACACAGACACACTAATAAGGCAGCTACATTTCAGGACAATGCACTTGACTTCTTCATATGTTGGACGCAGAAAACACCAGATTTTGTTTTCGTTGGCTTCTCATTGAGGCGGCTTGATCTGCCGAAGTGACTGTAATTGGTTGTAGATGTAATCAGAAATGTCAGAAAACATTTACTGCCAAAACACAATACAACACAACCGTGCATTTGATTCTCGGTCACTGCAGCCAAGTGCTCCCACCCAGCAAACTCCACGAAGAAATGGAGAACCTGCAGGGTGAGGTCATGTACAACATGGTTAAGTGCTCATGGTGCCCCTCTGTCTAAAAGACCCAACCCACCCAGGAACACAATAAAAGAGTCACATCGGTGCACAGATTGTAAAGCTACTCAACAGAAAAGGACAAAAGCTACTGAATGACCCAGGATAACCTAGGAAGGTTTATATAAATGCACCAGACATAGAGAGTTTGGTGACGTTGTGACATAACGTGGGATTGCGTCTCCTCTTCTCCAAAACAAAAGCACCACGTTGAAAATTCCTTGCTTTGTTCTGTGGACACGTGACGTCTTGAAGGGTCGACAACGTTTGCTCTGCTTGTTTCTGTGATCATTTAAGATTCAGATGTCCGACTACAACAATCTGTCATCAGGTTAAACCGTACACTTACAAACAAGATCTAATACGTGTAGTGTGTAGCAGAAGTGTAGTGTACCACTTGAACACTTCTGCAAAACAAGCGTGCTGAATGATAATTGGTTAAAGCCTGATCATCCTCCATCCTGACACAGCGCTGTGGAGATCTGGATACATGAGATTATTTTTGTCCTTTTATAGCAAACAGGACCTCTGAGCCCTCAGCTGACCTCCAGACCTGCAGCGACCCCACCCTCCCCTGCTCTGCCACATGACTGGCATTCCCAGCATTCATTGCCTTCTTCACCAAAATTCCAGACTCTGCCCTTTTAGACCACCTCCCCCAAAATATAAACTCTCCGGCCACCCTCAAAAGCTCCTATACTGACAGCCATAAAAAATGCCACGCCTTGATATGGGTGACAAAAAAGTTGCTGCTACATTCCTACTAAAGAGTGTGAGCAGTGGTGGGAAAGTTTGGCCTCACAGGGAGTACTGGTCTTGGGACTGGGATACATTAAGGACATTTTAATTTTAATTTAGCTGAGTATTGCAAAGAACTGTCCATTTTAAGAGCCAGTGCAGGAAAGGAAGTTCTGTATATGAAGAGAGGTGCAAAGAAAGGGAGTGGCTGTCAGTGGAGCATGTCTGATCTTAATGTCGATGACCGGAGTTTGTTTAAAATCAAAAACCTACAGTGAACAGAAACACAATGTTTTGGTTTTGTTAACTGTAACCATATGATAACTGTATTTCATTCTCTGTAGAATTTGTTTTGTGTTAACTGCTTTATAGTTTCCATGTTTCTTCAGTTATTGAAGAAAGCAAGAATTTCTACGATGTCGGCAAAAGTCATATTTACTTGTGCGTACACGTGCATGTAAATGTTAGAGGCCATTTCACTCTTGCACATTAGGGCTGAATAACGTTTTAAATGTGTGCATCAGATATTTTCATGGTTTAGTCCTAAAAGGCAAATCAAATCAACATGAATATTTGGAGAAAATTCAACGCCACAGTTAGTTTTACTCGACTCCTACGCTGTATTTAACCTGCCACTTTAAGTTGCCTCTATAATTTGATGATTGGGTCTTTATTATTAAATAGAGGTTGAGTGTTGAGCTGCTGCAGCTACGCCACCTTAGTTATTTTCGCAAAAATGCAGAATGACATTTCATTGCATGTGTGTTTTATTCAGAATATTTTCAATCTTAAATTTATACTGTTGCATAGAACTCTTCAAAAAGAGACTTTAAGGTTCTCCTGGCTCAATAAAAGAACAAACTTACAACACACTCTTCAGGGGTGATATTTTTATCTGGGATTTTTACGTCTGGGAAGGTTTTTGCAAGTTTAAACTTTTCACATATTTTGAGGGAGTCATCAATATTTGTGTTGAGCAACTCCCCAGGAGTCAGGATTTTCTTTTTCTCTGTAAAAGGACTTTCGATCTCACCCGATCAGAAAGACTGAGAGTGAAGGCTGAGCAGAAATTATAGGAATTCCAGTTTCAGTTTATCATCTCAATAAACTGAAACTGAACTGAACCCCCAAAAATGATCTGGACAGAAAATATGTCGGTTCAACAACCAGATTTACACAGTTTTCATATCAACACGATCTACACGCAGACGTTGAACAGCTCTGCACAAAGGAGCTTTGTTATGGCTCCAGCGTGATCTCATCAGATTTAATTTAGCTGATTGGAAAATATTTGAACAGCCATGTTTTATAAATAGATGTTCCATTTTGGTCCGGTACATGTTGTTTCTGTATATGTTTACTCTGAGCTCATCAGTCAAATATCAAAATCTCTCACAGCCTCTTTTCATTTGTTCTTGGTCTCGTCTTCATTCAGCACAAGAAGCTAAAAACTCACAAAGAACAAGTTTATCTCTCGCCCTCCTTCTCTCCCAGTGATTACACATCCATTATATGACCTGGGTTTCTGTCTCTGTACTCACCACTAAAGGACAAATTATATTATATTATATAAGTCCTGCCATATTTATTATATTTCCCAAATTGTTTCTACACATTCATTTCTGTTGTATTGCTTTTGTACTTTCTCCTTGAACCAGAAAACTTGCTTTTTGTTTTTCTTTATATTTTCCCCTTATTTTTTTTAACTCAACAACGAATCTGATTGTGAAGAGCATCAAACGTGTATTAATCCATCAGTGAAAAGTAGTTGATGCATAAGTTTAAAAAATACAGCACCCAACTGTTTAAGACAATTATTGGCTTTTTTCAAATAAATCTATATACTTGTGCCTAAAAGTTTAAGAATGAAGATATTCCAGAATCAGAGGTTTTAAGGCTGAGGGCCACTGATATAATCAGTGAAAAACTAATGCAAGGCACACGACTGCACTTTACTGTTATGCTCTATTCATGGAAGATGTTGACAGTAAGACAGTTACAGACGAACACAAACCAGTTTTATCCTGGAAATCACAACATCAATGGCGTGTGGCATATGCTTCAACGTCCCATGTGACCTGGGGGAAAAATATAGTTTCACCCTGTCGACCTCACTGACATTTCATTTTCGCTGACTTAACGTATTTGTTTCTGGGACAGACAGGTTGATAACTGATCTCATATCAGTTTTGCTCCTGTCTGCTGTGCGGCAACAACAATTCAACATATTGACCATCCACTGAGCTGCTTCCATGACTTGAAGCTGGACCTTCAGCTCCTCGGAAAAATATACCTCACCTGGAAAACTCCTCTAGTAAGAGACTTCTCAGGTTCAGACACTTTCGTCTCTCTGCCATGTGGCGAGGCCGTTCTGTGACAAAGAACTTCAACGACAAATTCGTTGGTCCACAAAGACCAAAAGATGATAAACTCAACACTCCTAAATTTCTCAAGATCTGTTTTCTCACTTTCACTTTTATCCCCCATTTATCTTTGATTCCTCTTCCTCTTATCTGCCTCCCTCATCACTTCCTGCAGTCAGTGGCACCGAGACAGAGACGACCCACTGTCTCCTAAATCTCTCCACAAAGGAGATTTATACCCCTTAAACCAAACAGAATGCAGCAGGAGGGGGGGTTA